CGAGTGGTCGCAAGTGCGACTGCCAGGCAAGGGGTCACGGGTTCGATTCCCGGGTCGGGCAAAGTATTACTGGGTTTTAAAAAAATTATATATTCACGTGAGTAACCGGCTCTTTTTAGTATTTTTTTTGTCTCACGATAGTTATTATAAAAAATTCTTAGTAATAACATGGAGTTTGGATTTGAACTATCCATGTCAGTCCACTACTAGAATAATATACCTAATAATAATAAAATAATAATATTAGAGTGCATACAGGGATAGTCGCCGGTTTGTGTCTCCATTACATTTAGATTAAAGTTGTCTAAAGGGCTTCTGCGCAGTTGGCGTCGGCCCCTCGTACGCCTCCCAAATGACCAGGACCCTGTGGTCCCGTGAATGGTAAAGACATATAATAATAAATAGGTAATAAATTTTATTAATTTTTTTCCATCTTATTACATAGTGATGTAGACATTAATACTAGTTTTATAATATTGACAAAGTTTGTGAGAGACTGGTTCTACATATGGGTTTGCGTAGTTTAAGTGACAATGCAATGATGGAAGTCAGGAGCCCAAACTAGGATAACCTGTTTGGGTTCCTGACTATCCCTCATGAACAGAATTAGCATGGCCTCGTCAACATAAGAGGGATTGCCATAATCTCACTCGACGCTTGGACGGGTACAGGATACGAAAGAAATCTATAAAATAAAATTAAATTTCAAAAAATATTTATTTAAGTAATTAACCTATTAAAAGTCCTTCAATAAATTCACAAGAAAGGCGGCTGCAATGTAACTTGACGCAAATATTTAGAGTTACACCCGCAGCCGGGCATACCGCACCCACAACCACAAGATGGCACCTCTATCGTTGGCAACACGCTTCCGTATGATGGCACCTGAATACCCAAACAACCGCAGGGCCCCGAACATCCACAAGAAGACAGACTCCCACAATTACAGGAACCGCTACATCCACACGGCAAAACTGAAAGCCCACATGTGCAGACATCATTACAGCCACAAGTTGCTGCAGGCACACCGCAACTGCAGGGGCCAGAACATCCACAAGCTGGCACAGGCCCCCCCAAACACGAGCAGGGCCCATTACATCCGCAGCTTAGTGCAGTAAGACCACATGAACAGGGCCCCATGCATTCACAAGACGACAAACCAGCACAACCACAGGGGCCCACACAGCCGCAAGATTTTGGTACCGCACAGTTACAGGGCCCCGGACAACCACAAGCAGGCACATAGGACGGCACATCAATTAGAGCACTTATACCATAAGAATAAGCAGGCGTTTGAATGCTAGCACATCCACATTTTGTATCAATAGCAGCAGGAGCGCCGCAAGGACATGCAGGAAGTTTGACAGCGGGTACTCTACAACCGCAGTTAGGCTCACTACATCCGCAGGGGCCCCGACATCCGCAGGGGCCCGAACATCCACAGGGAAGGTCAAGAATTGAAATGGGTGCTCCATAACTAGCGACCTCAAAGGTTGGGAATAGGTTTCCTAGTGGGTTGATCTCAATAGGTTCAGCATATCTATAGTTAGGAACGTCAATCACAGGAGCAGGTAGACCCACGGGTCCATAAATAGGTTCTATAATAGAGCCTCGAGAGCCTAAAGTCAGGATGTCTATTATGGAGCTCTGACACCCGCATCCAATGCCGAAGTTTTGAAGATCCGATTTCTTGATTTTGGTTTTAGAGATCTTTTTGCGAGCGTCGACCTGAAAAAAAATGATATTTAGTTATAATGTATTAATACTCTTACATAAAGTCATGACTCTTATGAAAGGGGCAGGCAGTGGTGCACAATATAATACCCACTTCTGTTACAGTCACTTGCAATGAGGGAAAGCTTTTTGCCATGTACTTAGGCATAATTCCAAACTCCACTACAATCTACAGATAATTTCTTTAAAAAAAAAGACGAAGATCCCCAAATATCTTTGCGCGATCACGGAATCGAACCCACTGCTCGATATTTGCACTAGTTATTTCTGTTAATAAAAACTGTTATTAAAATACTTACGATTATACAAGAAACGATCAGAATCACGATCGAGAACTTCCCGAAATACATTTTTTTAACTTTAAATATTTAGTACGTAACTAAAATTTATAATACTTTTAATAAATATCAAATTAAACTATGCATAAATGAAATTAAAGTGTCTTTATATACCTAAAATATTTGTCAATATATATTTTTGATTGATTAATATTGATATACCAACTAAATTGCGTTAAATAAATCGATAATAAAATCGACTTACTTAATAACTTAATCGACGAAAGAGTTACTGTATCGATTCTTTAGTTTCTTAATCGAGTAATATTGTTTACACAAGTTCGTTCACGCGTTCATTAATCTCTGCCTACCCTCATGGCAGAAAGGCTATATTTAGGGTGTCCCTGAAGTCGACGCGACGATCAGGTGGCACCAGGTGATCGGCAAAGTTCAAAAATATAAAAAAATGTAAGTCATATAGTTTCTAAATTACAATGACTTATGTGTTATAATATCTATGGTATGGACTGCCTCGTTGGCCAAGTGGTCGCAATTGCGACTGCCGGGTAAGGGGTCTTGGGTTAAATTCCCGGGTTGGGGAAAGTATTACTGGGTTTTTAAAAAATTCTCAGTAGTAGCACGGAGTCTGGAACTGTGCCCGGTATATGGCTATAGGCTTACCCCCTATTACATGGGAGTCATAACATAAATAGTGAAAAGTGGGTGTTACATTATACAGTGACATAATGTGGACCTCTGCCTACCCCTTCGGGGATAGGAGGCGTGATGTTATGTGTTATGTTAAGAATGGAATGAAACATAGGCTTTCTTTAACTTTCTTATCTCACGGGAACGTGGGTAGAAGTTAGTATAATATAGGTAGCATCATGCCTCATTCCACGAAGTGATAGGCAGACATTCAATATTGATATATTACTGTTATACTAATATTATAAAGCTGAAGAGTTTGTTTTTTTGTTTGAACGCGCTAATCTCCGAAACTACTGGTCCGATTTGAAAAAATCTTTCTGTGTTAGATAGCCCATTTATCGAGGAAGGCCTATAAAATATCACGCTACGATTAATAGACGCCGAGCAGAGCGTAGGATAGGGAAGTAGCTAGTTAAGTTGGATCACCAACTATTCAACAGTTATATTATATTATGTAAAAGGGGGGCGAGCGTGATATACTGGCTATATTAATTTTGTTACTATAGTTAGAAACAAAATTAATGTAAAATATAAATTTAAAATTGTAAAAATTATGCCCTACCTGGGAATGGGGGCTATCGTATTTTTGGTCACCAGATCACAGATGGCGCAAATATAACAAAACCTCACAGATAACCGTCGTGAAACAACCCTTGCGTTGCGTTTCGTCGTGTGGGTGAGGTTACCGTAGGCCCAATTACCTGCCCCAGTCTCTGAATCCCCCACAATCCTCACATTCCCAATTCCCAAAAGGCCAGTAACTTGTAACGCCTCTGGTGTTCCAGGTGTCCATGGGCAACGCTGATTGCTTACCATCAGGTGATCGGTATGCTCGTACCCCGGCTTATCTCACAAAAAAAATTAGCAAGAGGTATACCTAGAAATCGTAGGTTACTCACGTGAATATACTGAGATTAATATACATACTGATGATATTAGATAAAAAACGAGGGGTTTACACAGTGCCACCTTTTGAGCAAATATACGGCCCTCCTTGAAGTGTACACACGGCTACACATCGAGCTTTACATAACCAGTATAAACTGAACGTTAAATGTGCGGAAAGATGATGCGACGCGACACCAGGATAAATTGGTTTTGTATAGATTGATGAGTGGCCGTGTGTAGTGTGTACAATAAAAGGGTAAATACAAAAAAAAACACAAGAATTTTATTAACATGGTACCTAATGATTAGTTTTATTTTCTACACTATTCACAATAAATAGCAGCTTCTAAATTATTTTTTACGCATGGCAACATCACGTTAGTAGTTACAAAATATCTTACAGACATTGTAGGTAATAAAATATTTCCATTTTAAATATTTTGAGGACATACATATAAAACTATTGTAAGAAAGTACTTTTTGTAGTGTACTTTTGTAACAAAATATATTATTTTAAGTTAATAGGAATAATCCAGGTAGTGCATTAGTCTTATCTGTTTCATAGTATATTTATAATCTGTATTCTCTTTCTTTATGACTACTGTCAAAAGTGGCGCGAAAATGCATAACCTCTTAACCAGTTTGTACTTCCAATAATATTTCATTGTTATAAAGAATATAGTATAAAGTTTAAAGTAAATAAAACAACAAAATGATGTTTTAAACAGATTTGTAACAGAAAAAATGTAACAATAAATATAATTACATACATAATTACAACATCACTCCCTGAGGGGAATACAATGATAAGTACTCATAGAAAACTAATTATTTGTAATATACAATCTGCCAATTATTTTATTTATTCCAATAGAAATCGCCAAACCGCCTTCAGCAAGGGTGGCGATTAATAAACCTCCATTTGAGAAGAGGCTTGTGACGAACAGTGAGACAGTTTATAGACTGTTCATCAGTCTTTGCGACTGGGCTTCACCCAGTTGTACAGTCTCTTCTTTGTGCCTTTAGGCTTAATTCATTCTGTCTCCTGCAGTAATTCACCGAGGGAAGTGGAAACTATAGTTTTTTCTTCTCCTCTTATAATATCTTCTGATTCATTTCGTTGCGGGAACCAAGACAGTTACTCATGTCCCTGGGACGCGCCGAACTTCAGTGTTCCGGTGTTTTGATGGTTGTATCTACTGTAGATCCTGGCTTACAGGAGTTGCAGCGGTTTTGGGAGGTTGTGGCGGGCTTGTCCATTTAAAAAAAAAAAAAAAAAAGACTGATGAAGATGACAAACATACTAAGACTCATAAACACACTAGCCAACCTAACTTGTTCTACATTGACCTTTTGTAACGAACATAACACTAATCTACAGAGGTCTTCTTAGTTGGCCTTCGGTGGTGGAGGTTTCCCGCTGGCTAAAACTGCCTTCATCGTCTTCATCATACTGGGAATGATTGCAATGTGCTTGTCAACACATTTTACGGCGCATTTCTCGAATTCAATCGTGCATTTGTCTATCTGTAGAAAGATAAAATTTAATTAATTAAAATATATTTAGTAATAGAATATCGGGTTTTAATGTAGGTAGGTAAATCGACCCTACACTAGAATTTTTTTAGTGTCGTTGGTGCTTTTATAAACATCATCAGCACACAGACAGCTCAATAAATGACACAATAAGAAAGTCAGGCAACTCAGGGCCTTTAGCCAAACGCCATTTTAGCGCTTGTCTACAGAGAGAGTAGAAATCAAAATGTATGGGGATGACACTGACAAGTGTCAAAATTTACGTAAATTCCTTAACATTTGGTTTTCTATTCTACATGTAGACAAGCGCTAAATGGCATTGGGCTACAGCTGCTGGTGACATAATGCCTTTGCTTAGGTCAGAACTTTAGTTAGCACAAAAGTTGTAGACATAATGTCATTGTCAGCAAACATGAATAAAATGAATTGCATTGAAATTACTATTATAATCAAATCAGCCGAGTCAGCGCGTTAATAATTGCTACATATTGTTTTACTGGTAATTCCACACAGACAAATTATTTGTATGATAACTGCCAATGCAGTCACCGGTGTCCGCTCTCCACTTAATTTTCAACCGACTTCAAAAAAAGGAGGAGGTTCTCAATTCGACCCGTATGTTTGCTTTTTTTTTTTTATTTGTTACGCGATTACTCCGCCAATTATGAACCGATTTGAAAAATTCTTTTTTCGGCGTATAGGTAATACCTCAAGGTTGGTCCCATTTAAATTTACTAATAAAAATAACAACCCCCAAGGGTGGAAAATAGGGGATGAATTTATTTATACGCAATAACTCCGCCGATTTTAAACCAATTTGAACTATTATTTTTTTGTTGAATAGGTATTATCAAAAGGATGGTTTCATGCGAATTTGAAGAAAATATTTCAACCCCCAAGGGTGGAAAATTGGGGATGAAATTTTTTATACGCAATACGCCAATTAAACCAATTAACCAATTTGAACGATTATTTTTTTTTAGCATTTCTTTCTCTACTTTCTTTTAAACGCACTTCCCTTTCTTCTTTTGTTTCCTCCAAACGGCGCTGTCTCATTAAGGCTGCGCGTTTAGTAGGCCTACCCATATTAAATGCACTAAGGGTATCTACAAAAAAGTAACACTAAAAATTTTAAAATAAAATAATTAACTTTTTAAAAAAAATAAAACCGACTTCAAATGCGAGAACACAAAAAAAACTAAAAATTAAAAAATAATTCCTAATACCTATTACCTAATACTATAATTTTTCTAAACTATATCAAAGTAATTAAAGTTAAACCATCTAAATATCTTAAAATAGTTATACTTATATACCTACCTATTGTTTTTTGGAGTCGGTGCCAGTAATAAATGAATATTAAACCTAATGAAATAAGAAAAAGTACTCAATGAAACAAAAATATTAAGAAATAAGTTGTATGTAGCCTGGTACAACTAAACCTATACCAACAAAGAATAACAAATACCTACAAATCCTACAATAGAATACAACAAACAAAAAAGAAAGCAATAATTTGAAATATTGCGCATCCGAAAATTCAGTATTTTTGACACGAGCGTCAACGTAGTCTGCCCTCAAGCGTCTGCCCGCCTTCGGGTCGCTTACTCGAGCAAGACCGCACGCGCCCGCGTCCCCCGCCGCACCGCGCGGCCCCGCCTCGCGTCATGCGTCCCCCGCCACCGCGTCGCACGTCTCTAGTTCGCGGGTAAACTTTAATACGCTGGCACTGGCAATGCAGTCACCGGTGTCCGCTCTCCACTTAATTTTATTTTTATTTTATTTTTTTATGTTATCACTGAAGAATTATTTCTTCTTCACAAAACACAACAGTGAATGGCGGACTTAATGCCTTAAGACATTCTCTTACAGTCAACCATAGGGAGAAATGCAGAGCGATTGATGCGGGGCCAGAACACAATTTAAAAAAAAATTGTTATGTAATATACTACACACATAAATACCTATAGAATAAATATATTAAACTGTCAAACACCAAGCGGTCACCGGTGACCGCAACCTATTGTTCTTTAATTGTGTCTATAAATACGGTACTCGACGAGTTAATACAATATTTTATAAATCTGTATAGACATATACATACCATATAATATATACTGCTAAACAAATACTTATACCTACTGCATAAATACTACAAATATAAAAAGAAAACTTTGTCAGAATAGTTTCCTCAATTGTTTTATTTAATCTATTCTTCTTCTTCTTCTATAATCTATTATGAAATAGATTAAACACCTTATTTCCGATGTTTAGACTACTTTTGATTGAACAAACATTGTGGTATTTTCGTATGTTAATCAAGTGAATAAATATGATATTTATTTTTAAGGTCTTTATAGAAAAAAATGTACATACCGTCTCCTGACTGGGGTCAGGTCCCAATCTGTCTCTGGCATGATCATTGCAGTCCATCACACATCTCTGTAGCCGATTTTGCAAGTGATTGATCTCTCCCTGTGGATACAAAAGAAAAACATTAGATTTTCTTAAAATCGTAAACAATGATCTTTTTTCAAACAATTCTCAGTAGTAGCATGGAGTCTGGAACTGTGCCCGGTATATGGCAATAGGCTCACCCCCTATTACATGGGACTCATAACATAAATAGTGAAAAGTGCGTGTTACATTGTACAGTGGCATTAAGTGCCGTAGTGTGCACCTCTGCCTATCCAATCAGGGATAAAAGTCGTTATAAATTATGTTCTTATAGATGTATGTTGATTTTCAGTTATATTCTTGTTTGCGGCACAAGTGTGGGAGAGCCATGTTTCGGCACGAATGGGCCGGCTTGACCGGAGTGATACCACAACCTGAAAGTAAATCGACGTGAAACAACACTTGCGTTGTTTAGTTGTGTGAGTGAGGTTCCCCGAGGCCAGATTTACTCCCCCCTCTTCAATCACCCTAATCCCTAAATCCCCAACAATCTTCAAAGATCTAGTCTATATTGTCAAATAAATGCTTTCTTTTTTCTGTCTTAAAGGCGACGCTTATTGCTTACCATCAGGTGATCCATCAGTTCATTTACCGATTTATTCCTTAAAAAAATGAGCTAGTTTAGATAACTGGGAACGGTTTAACGGAAGTAAAATAGATTACCTGAACATAATTATTGGCTTGGTTTAGTGAACTAGTACAGTTCTCAATGCATCCATGCACTCGCTCTAATGAGGTCTGGGGATCATCGCAACATTTCGCTGCACATCTGTGCATGTCACCCTGAAAAGAAAGAAATACAGAATTATAATAAATTGGCAGTGTAGTCAAGGAAAATCTGCAGATTAAAGTGGCAATGGGCAGGCCACGTTGCTCGAAGGACTGACGGCAGATGGGCTAGGAAAGTCCTTGAGTGGAGACCACGGTACGGAAGACGAAGCGTAGGCAGGCCTCCCGCTAGGTGGACCGACGACATCGCCAGAGTTGCGGGGAACCAGTGGATGCAGGTGGTGAGTTGTCATTCGACGTGGAGGGCTAAGGGGGAGGCCTTTGTCCAGCAGTGGACGTCTTCCGGCTGTTGATGATGATGTAGTCAAGGAATAAAAGGTAGGTATCAAATTATTTTAAGCAGTTGTCCTGTTCAATTCCCAAGCAGTTACTGGTGACTGTTCTACACTAACTAAGTATGAATAAATTTTAGGGATTTTCAGTACAATATATCAACATATCAATAAGTTCTATTCTGCCAACCGAGACTGTATGGACATCAAAATTAAGAGTGTGTACCATTAATTCTCATTGGGTAGCGAGTAAAACTCAGATTACTAAATTTGCCTCAAACAAACAAAAAAACTATGTCATTTCTTATTAGACATAGGGTAAGAAAGGCCTCAGCTAGTCGGGTTGCGAGCAAGTTGCCTAATCTAAACAAAACTGTATAAAAAGTGATAAATATAAATCTCTTGATTATTTTCATAAATGCAAGCATTTATGATCAAAAGTGGTCTAATAAAATTAAATGGTTTTGACTTTATGGAGATAAAAATAATGTCCTAAAATGTGCTCATTGTTACATGAAGGAAAGAGAAACAAACACATTAATAATAGTAATATTAGGAAGAATTGCTATCAATATTTTTATTGCTGCATTATGTGGATGATGCAATCCAATCTGTGTAAGAAATTCTATTTTTGTTGTAAGGTCTATTAAAGAAAGTATATAGGGGATAATTACAATATGTAAACAGAGTAATTAAAATAATGGTTGGCATTCCAGGATTATTTCTCATAGAGCAGAATTAGAAACTTAATAGTATTGGTATTGGTAAGTAGGTAAGGCCTAGCTGAAATTATAAGCCTTAATAAGCCACTACATTCCTTCATTTTGAATCTGAGAAAATTAAAAAAAAATAAGGATGAATTATAAGGTATCCTTGACCTGGTGTTTACTTTATTAAAACCTATATTTTGACAGGTTATAGAATTAACAATGATTGATGAATTAAATATAACATAACATAACATCACGCCTTTAATCCCCGAAGGGGTAGGCAGAGGTGCACATTATACCACTGTACAATGTAACACCCACTTTTCACTATTTATGTTATGAGTCCCATGTAATAGGGGGTGAGCCTATTGCCATATACCGGGCACAATTCCAGACTCCGTGCTACTACTGAGAATATTTAAAAACCCAGTAATACTTTGCCCGACCCGGGAATCGAACCCGAGACCCCTTGCCCGGCAGTCGCACTTACGACCACTTGGTCAACGAGGCAGTCGTGACGATGAATTAAATATATTTCTTCATATGAGATTTTTATTTAAATTATAGAGATTAATAACTTATTATAATCGTACTAATTGCTATTTATCTATCTGCATACATTATTGCGTAAGTATTGCATGCTATCGGGAACATAACCTCACTTACTTGCATTTTCCGTAAATAACTCTTGTCCAATTCATTGACAAGGTTTGTCATCTCCTGCTCAATCCTAAACTTTTGTGCCTCAACCATTTTGATGCGTTTCACTCACAAAAATATAATAATTTGCTGAAAATTTGTAATTTTACAATAATCGTGTAGAATGACAGCCGCAGCCGCTATCTACAAGTTGGGAATTTGACGTTTGTCACTTGACAGCAGTTTTTTTTTATACTTTATTACGTAATGGAATCTTGCTTTTTAAGTTACTTTCTAATGCTTTCTAATCAGATAATCCCAGATATAAATAAGTTAATTTTGTGGTAATAAATGTCAATTTTCGATAAATACTTTATTAAAATAATAAAATAAACATAATACAATTAAGCCTCAATTCCTATACCAGCTAAAAATCCACCTAAAAGTTCTTGATCAAAATTAAAAATTGGTAGTTTCTTCAATAACGCAGCACAAGATTCACATACAGGAGTTTCTTCCTCTGTGTCCGCTAATCGACTAAATCTATTTTGTATTTTATTGGGAATGTCATCTATTAAATCTGGCAACCCAGTCGAACATGGCGGGGGTGGCGCGAAAGGCACACGATTTGACATTTCACTTTTTGGCGGAAAAACTTTATTTTGCGGTATTTCTGTGAAAATATTATTCTCTTTGATATTTTTTTTGAAATTCAATGGAAAATCTTTGCAATCAGGATTTAAAACAGTTATTTTTGGTGGTGATGGTGGGGCTGGTAGGAAATAAGCTATTGCAGTTTCGGGATAGCATTTTGGTGTTCGTTCAAATGTCGGTGGCTTCGTTGGCGGTGTTGGCGTTGGTATTGGCCTTGGAGCATTGGCTAAAGGTATTGGTGGTGCGTGGTGACATTTTCGGTTGATAATCTGGGCGTGACTCATCTGTGGAAAATATACAAGTTTAATAAATAAAATAAAAATGTGTACTATGCTATTATGACAAAACTTAGTTAGCAAAACTCATAATGATGTATAGAATAAGGTGCGATGGGGTTGGCATATCCTTAGTGAATAAAAACTCCAATACAATTATAAATAAATAAAAGTAAAAAAAATATGTATACAGGCATATTTTACATATTTTACATATTTTATACTTCATAATAGTCCAAGCAAAAACACTAAGATTTAACAAAAAAAAATACTGAGTGATCACAAACATGACATCATAAATACCCAATAAAGCGGTTGGTCAAGATTTTAATAAGCTTAAAATAAAACAATAATAACAAAGCTAAAAAAATAAATGTAAGATTATAATACATTTACCTTGTATATTAGAATACAATTTACGACAGCTAACAGCGCTATCTTCGCCATTGTTAATACAGTTAAATAAGTGTAAAACCTTAGTAATACAGTTTTCAGTGTTATTTATTGAAAAATATACATAGTTAATGAAATCTTTATCTTTAAAATTAAGGCAATCGCCCTTTCTTATGTTATTTAAACAAAATTATCATTCTTGTGTAAAGTCTTGATGTTTTGAAATTAAAATAAATGAAAACAATTTACGAATTGTGACATTTCTGAATTATATACTTTAGATATAATAAGTAGAGTAGAGTAATTTCCGAAATTTTATTTTAATGTCCGTCTGATACATTTATTTAAAACTTAAGGAATGTATTTTTTCTTTTCTCACAAAATTAAATAGTTTTGACGATATATTAATTTGAAATATAGAGTGACGTCACAGCGTGTCACATTTTGTAGCAAGTTATGACGTAACGACCTCCTACTCCTAAACTTAGCGCCATTTTATCTAATTATTGCAACTTAATTCGAGAAAATAAAAAACGTATTTTTTATCTATATCTAATATTTTTTCATTATTTAACTGACGAAATAATTAGATTTTTAAATTGGTACCCTGGAAACTACCCAATTAGAGAGCTACAATATAAGTATACAAGCTACTTCCGCGCGGTTTCACACGCTCTGCTCAGCTCCTATTGGTCGTACCGTGATGGTTTATAGTCTATAGCCATCCTCGATAAATGCGCTATCCAACACAAAGAATTATTCAAATCAGACTTGTAGTTACGGAGATTAGCGCGTTCAAACAAACAAACAAAAAAACAAACTCTTCCGCTTTATATAATAGTATAAGATATAAAGTATATGATAGGTACAAGATATTTTTATTACATGACCTCTGCAAAAGGGCGTGTTCTCGTGTTGAAGAACATGGATTTTATCAATAAATTTCCAAAACATATTAACCATTGGCTATTCTGTCAAGGGACAACATGCGAGGAGTTACGTCATACTTATAATACATAGAAAAGGGTTACCAATGTCAAAAATTTCTTAACAATAATCGTAGAACAATGTTGAAACATTTCGTTTATTAGGACATTTAGTGGTATTTGAAAATATATAAGCAGTTCGATAATATTTTTTGTGCTTTTGTTGCATTCACTATGGAGGCGAAATCTTTGATCGTTTTGCTGGCTGTACTTTTTAGTTCCGTGAGTATTTTGTGTACTTGACAATTAATATTCAGTTACTTTAACATAGCATTATTCTTTTGACAACTTTAAATAAAATTCATGTATAATTTCATAGTATTTAAATAATGTGAAACTTGGATGTGTGCCTATTACGATACAGAAGTTCTGTAAAGAAGAATAAGAATAAGAATCACGAAAGGACACCTAACCTAGTACGTAGCTTCACCTAGCTTCACTGACAGACTGAATAACAGACTAGGTACCAAATTATGATTTAATAGAAATAAATCCTTTGAGTTTGACTTTGAAAAACACCAATAATGTTATAGGTACTCGACCTGAAAAATCCCCTACTCAAAAGTTGCACTTATACCTCATGAATGAAACTTACAGACTTAGGTATTTGAAATTCAATTCTATTCTAATTTTCTTTTACAGGTAACATCAGGCCAAACAATACCAATCTTCCGATCCCCATGCCAATGTCCCCAAAAACTCCCATGTATTTCTAAACTGGCAACACCGTTTCCCGCCATCTTAGAAACCATAGACAACATCCCGAATCCTCAGTGCCGTTGTTGCAAGGAGCAACTCATTCTGCCTCCTCTGGCGGTAGAATTACCAAGGAGTTTGGGTTACTTTCAATCGGCTTTGCCTCTGGTTGCAAAATATTTTAGTCCAAGTGTGGATAATGTGATAACTGGTGCCTATCTCCCTGTGGCAGCCTGTGATTTGGTTATCGCTGCTCCTGTGTGCCCGGAATACGCGCCATTAGTTAAATCTATTGTTTTGTAAAATAAATAATCATTTGACTGTCTATTTTTATTGTTATCATTTCACAATTTGAACCTATTTATTGAAAATTATTTTGATAATGTTAGTGCGGTGTTTAATTCTAAATAAATCTTCAAGCTCAACATGGAACATACATACATACCTAACATCACGCCTTTAATCCCCGAAGGCGTAGGCAGAGGTGTTACATTAAGGCACTGTATAATATAACCACCCACTTTTCACGATTTATGTTATGAGTCCCATGTAATGAGGGGGTGAGCGTATTGCCATATAAAGAGCACAATTCCAAACTCCGTCCTACTACTGAGTTTTTTTTTAAAAACCCAGGAATACTTTGCCCTACCCGGGAATCGAACCCGAGACCCAGGGGTCTCACTAGCCCGGCAGTCGCACTAGCGACCATACGGCCAACGTGGCAGTCAGACAGTTATTATAAAAACTTGAAATGGAAATTTTAATTAACAATTTGACTAGCCCACTAATAACTAAGTACAACTTACTTATAAGAATAAGAACGTTTATTTGCACGAAGTATGGTAATTACAGGTAATAATAATTATAAAAAAATAGTCCCACACACATCGCCCACTGTTTTCAGCATGCAAAGTTAAATTTTACAATTAATAAAGTTAAAATGTTACAATTAATAGGAACTAATTACAAAAATGCTTACAACTAGGATAACATATTATTTCGCCTAACATATAAAAGAGCGGAGTCGCGGATAACCTAACGGGTTACCGGGGCTCCGGCTCGAAGCGCAGAAGGAACGGGGTGGTTTGTAGTCAGTAAGAGTCTGACACTCCCTCCCGCCTCACCCAGGTGTGAGCAGTCATTCGATGATTTTCCCCCATTAAAAAATGACGCAAAGTGGTTACAATAAAAACGTACATCTACATATCCCGTCATATCAAGCAAGCGTGACAATATTACATCAATTTATTCTCGAAATAACATTTCATAATACCTACTTATTACTATCATTTATTAGCATTTCTTATAATTTTAATATCTTTTACTAAAAATTCGATAAGACACGAAGCCTATGATAACCATACAGTAAAATACAATGACATTACATTATAAATATAATTTAATTCTGAAACTTAATCATATTCATAGTCTTTGGCAATATTTAAAAAAAATGAAGACTGTTATAATATTAACGACTGTGATCTTACACAATCAGGTAAATTAAACAAAATTATTATAATTTCTAACATAGGTAACAATTATTTCTATTCAAACGGCGCGTGGGCTCATTAAATACCTGTTTAAATTTTTTTTACTATTTTTACAATTGTAACACTGTGTTAATTGGTCATGGTAAGCAATCGGCACCGCCTATAGACACGCGGAACACCAGAGGAGTTACTAATTATAATGATTTACCGGCCTTTAAACTGTCAAACACCGCGAGGACACCGGTGACCGCAACCTATTGTTCATTAATTGTGTCTATAACGACTGTACTCAAAGGGTTAAGGGGTTGGAAACTTAGGATTTAGAATTGGGTAAATGAACAGGGCAACACAAAATAGAAAATTAATGGTATATTTTTTTTGCAGCTGGCAACATCACAAATACTACGTCCTCAGTTCACAAGGCCAATGACAGAACAAATAATAGAGAATGGAAAATTCATCAACCTACCGCCCAGCGTGATAACGGAGCCGACTAGCACGAACATAATTCCTATCCCTAACATCATTCCGACCCCTAGAACTACCTTAATCACTGACTGCTCACCTTCAATCTGCGAGAATCTAGCCAACACCATACAACTAATGATAGTTTGCAATCT